GAGTTTGGAAGGGGAAGCCATAGTGGGTGCAGGCAGGACCAAGACACCAAGCCCCAGAGATGGCTCTTCTGCCTGCGTCTGCCAGAGCCTTGTCCCCCAGCAATACCTGTGCGCAACATCCGTTTGGGCTGTAGGCCGTGCAGACACGTCTGACTTTGTGAACACCCCCACCCCCGTTTCCCCTTATGTCTGTGCATAAGCTCTGGCCACACTGCCTGGGTGCTGTGCTTCCGTGACTCCCGTCCTGCAGTGTACCCTCACCTTGAAGTCTCCCCCACCTCCATCAAACACAGCAGCTCCACCTCCTGGGTCTAGCTCAAAGCAACCTCTTTTCTGGAGCCTTCATAGGTCCTTCCATTGCTGCACTCCAGAGTTCTTGGACTTCTCTTTTAGCAACTTTCTTAGTTTGTCTTGCATCATTTATTCCTTCGTTCGTTCACTCATCAACAAGCTCCATCAAACCCCGGAGCCTGACACTAAGCAGCAGCACTATAGGAAGAGGTGGACAGAGTGAGTCTGGAAGACACAGGTGATGAGTGAGGGCCAAACACCCAGACCCTGAGGTTAGACAGGCTGGAGTCCTGCTGCTTACCAGGCTCAGATGTGGGATGTTGGGAGGCTACTGAGCCTCTCTGAACCTCGGCCACCACGGGGTCAGAGAGAGGGCAGGATGACGCGGTTTGCGCGATGGGCTGACACAGCCCATGGACACAACAGCAACATGTGAGGGAGCATGTAGACCAGGTAACACCCAATCATCTGGGGGTGAGGGCTTAGGGGGTTTAAGAGGTGGAGGACGAGGGCTGCTGAATGGAGAAAGGTGCAGTGCAACCATTCTGGCCTTCACGGTCTCCCGGCCTGCAGGATAGTGGTGACCATCAACCGGAAGAGGAACCTGGTGGTGTCAGTGGAGGACAAGGGGACCTTCGAGGTTGTCCTGCACCGGGTGTGGACAGCCACTCACCAGGACTTCCTGGGCTTCTACGTGCTGGACAGTCATGGGATGTCAGCGCGGACGCATGGGTTGCTGGGTAGGCTGGCTGCGGGGGGCTGCACTGTGGGGTGGGGTGTTGAAGCCAGTGGGCTCTCTAGGACAGTTACCCTCCAACAGGGCTTCCAAGGCTCAGAGGTCCAAACTGGGGTTGTCCAGGTGAGGGTCTTGCTCCTCTATGAGGCTGCAGTCAAACACAGTGAAATCTTGAGTGAGTGGCGAGAGATCCAATTAGCAAACAGGAAGCTCCAGCCAGCATCCAGACCTTCCAGGGTGGGATGGGTCATCAGTCATACGTGTCTCCTGTGGCCTTCCTGTGGGGCCTGCTCTGGGTGGCATCTGTCCCTCCACCCTCTCTCCCCAGCCAGATTCCTTTGCACTGGTCCAAAAAATGTGGTTTTGGATGCCCCAAATTAATCAGAATCTCTCCAGCCACTCTCAACCTCCAGAGAGTACCTGCTGAGGGCCAGGTAGGAGCAAGGCCCAGATGGTAACTGCCTCCACTGTGCCTTTCCAGGACAGTTCTTCCACCCCTTTGATTATCAAGTGTCTGACCTTCATCCAGGCTCTGACCCCACAAAGACAGATGCCACACTGGTGGTGAAGAGCCACCGGCTGACAGTCACCAGGTGGGTGGGCTGATCTTGCAGAATCGGCCATTCCCGACCTTCTTCCAGGTGCCACATGGGGAAGCAGTCTTTCTGAGGATGTGCTGCTCTGTTGGGTCCAAGGAGTGGCCCCAAGTGACTTGTCTCTCCCCAGGGGCTTGCAAAAAGACTACAGAAAGGACCCCTGGCATGGAACTGAGGTGACCTGCTGGTTTATCCACAACAACGGGGCCGGACTGATTGACGGCGTGCACACTGACTATATTGTCCCTGACATCTTCTGAGCTCCCGAACTGGCAAGCCTATCCTCCCTCGGGACCATGGCAGAGGAGGCCAGAATCCTGACCTGCTGCCCAGGCCGCACCTCCCTGTCCAAGCTGGTTCCTATGTGAAACACCTATGACTTGCATTAAAAAGAAGCTAGGTCCAACCCAGAGTTTGCTGTGGCTCTTGGGGAGGGAAGGGACAGGGAAGTAACCCCAGATGCTGCCACTCAGAAGGGCCCAACAGCACAACGGATCCAAGGATGAGAGAAGTGGGTGGAGATAGGAAGGGAGTCTACACCTGCTCCACCCAGCCCCGCCTGCTCTCTGCAGCTGCCTGACCTCGAACCTTCTGAATGCTCTGAGTGTCCCCTGCACACAGCCCCTTCCATGGGGCCAGGACTGAAATTCTGGCAACCTGGGCAGGGGTGACCAGCAGCAGCCACAGCTGACTTGGTACTTCCTGGAACCAGACATCATTCTAAGTGCCTTCTTTGAATTAACTAAAAGTATGTTCCCAGTAGCTCTACGGGATACTTTCATCATATCACAGCTGAGAAAACTAAGGTTAAGTCATTTGCCCAGAATTATTCATTCCACAAGTGGCAGGGCTGGAGTTTGAACCCATACTGTTTGGTGTCGGCATCGGTGTGCTTCATCATCCCCATGTAAATATTCCTGTCAGACTGGCAACTGCTACCCAGGCTGTTGGGATTTGGTTCTAGGTACCCATTTCTAAGGGACCCATTTCACATTAACATATGAAAGAAACCTGTGAAATATATATATGGACTTGGGGTCCTGAAGAAGTCCTATCAGGAGCTGGAGGCTGGGTCAGGGTCTCAAGCGACAGTGTGTAGGCTTCCACCTTCTGCTCCATTTCCCAGCTGAGAGTTTGCAAACTCAGACAGCTGGGATGATATTTCTCAAAAGCAGAGACAGCCACTGCCCAGAAGCTGTGATCTCAGGGGACCAATAATAGCAGCCCCCCGGCTCTTCATACCAGTGACTGGGATTAGGGCTTCTTCCTTTGACTTTTCTTTGGGGTCCAGTTAAAATATAGCCTTCCAGGGAAAAGGGTTATGAGCGCACACTTTGGGCTGCCTCTTAGCCTTTGGTGAAGTTTGATGAATCTCCACTCACTCCTTTCCAGTTTCTATTTTCCCCTCTATTGGCTCTTGTCCAGTTCCCAGCAGGGTCCAGCTGGTCTAGGGCTGCCCCAAGCCCAGGTACACAGAGATTTCAGTGGCAGGCTGGTGGGCAAAGAATAGGGTTTCAGAGACCATTGCACTATCTAGAGTGTCCTGAGCTTCCCAAGGGAGACACATGGGCTGCCAGCTGAGCGGTCAATCTAAGAAAAGCTCTACCCAACCTGGGCCTCATTTTCCCCTGCTGGAGAGCAGAAATAGGGTGAGCCTGAAGATCTCTTAGATTTCATCTAATTCCAAATTCCACATCATAAGTCTGGGTCTTTCCAAGTCGCTAGCTGTCCCTCAGGGCATCTTGAGCTGCCTCAGAATTCCTAATTTGAGATGTCACTCCCGCAAAATTCCAAACATTTGGGGATGAGGCAGTTGTTTGGACAAAGGGGCAGGAGGAACTTCCGCCAGCAGCTGCTGGGCCTTGAAGTGGAGCCACTGGGCAGTGTTAGCATGACAATGGTTCTGCCACCATCCCAAGTTGCTCAGCGAGTAGTGGCCACAGGGGCTGAAAATGACCACATGAATAAGTCGTCCCAGGGGCCAGGCACAGGGCTCCACAGCACAGCTCTGAGAGAAGTCCCTGTTCCCAGGGGTGAGCGGCTGCTGCCTTTGGCCTCTCAGTCCCAAGCACAGTGTCCTTGGGCAGTAGGAGTTGGTGACACGGTTCAGGAGCCTGAGAACAGGCACCTCCTAGTGCAGCCTCAAGTTCAGGCAGTTGCTACATCAGTAGCTGCAGCTATGGGGCCACCATCATTTTGCAACCTTGGCCCCTGCCACTTCTAATCATTCCTTCCTCATGGGTCCTGATGCCTCCTGACTTCAACTTTCTGCCTCTTGCTCTGTTTCTCTTCTCCCAGCAGTCAACCCTCTCTTCTGCACATATCAGTCAGGTTTTCACAGTCAAACTTTTCATCCCATGGTGGAAGCCCTAAGTTCACTGCCCAGGGCCTGGGCTTCCTCATCAGTGCCACTGAGTAGTAGCTGTGGAGGTCACTGGGTCACTGTGTTCAGGAGAGCCTGGGTCTGGCAAACAGTAGGCAGCCACCCTGAAGAACTGGCAGCATCCAGGTGTGACCCAGGAGGTGCCAGCCCCCAAGAGGAGAGGCTCAAGCCATTCTTCAGTTTTCTTTGTCCTGGAGCCAGAGTTCCATTCTCACTGGAGACTGTTGGGAAAGGACTCTCCAAAAGGCTGAGAGCAGCCAAGTCTCTAACCAGGACCTGGGAACACAGTGACCAACATGATACAACATGACCTTCCAGGAACTGGAAGTCTGGAGGGCATAGTCAGTTGCTTAACATGTAAACCTCCACATAAGATATCAGCTGAGCAGGTCTTCAGGATGCTTGGTGCCTGGAGCAGGTTGTCAGTGGCTGACTAGAGGACAAAAAAAGGTCTCAGAGAAGATGCCCTGGGGCTGGTGGGGGAGATGAGTAAGGGCACACCCAGGAAGCAGAAGCAAGCTGGAGTCATGTCACCATGACAGCTGAGCCATGAGACTCACGGCTTGTCTTTTCTAAGGTTATGAGAGCCTTCATTGGGTTATGAACAAGCATTTCATCTGGGAAAACCCCTGCTTTGGGGTGCTGGGTTTTGTTTGTGCCCTGGTACCCTTGAGAAAGGAAGCCCTTTCCTTGAGAGCAGTGTCAGAGTCAATGATGCTGAAGAGTCCTGGGGCCCATTTGCCAACTCACACCTCTGCTTCCCTAGGGCTGCAAGTCCCCAGACTTCAGGAGTGAAGTCTCCACACTGTTGACAATACCCATCAGAACCCCTAGTAGGGACAAGTCCAGAGCTATTACTCCACCCACACCCTAGATTCCCGGAGTAGCCTCCCTCTCCTGCTCTTCCCGCCCCTGCACTGCAGGTCACTGACCGCACTCGAAAAACACCGGGCTCCCTCATATAAGAGTGCAGTGTTGGCGTGTGTGCTCAGCGATGGCGTCTGCCAGGTGGCCTTGCCTCCTTCTGGCCCTGCTCTCCTGCTTGGCGGTCTCCGGCTCTCCCAGAAGCCACTCCCAGCCACTGCAGGTAAGTCTGCTCCCTCTTCACCATCTGGCCTCTCCAATGGGCAGAAGCCTCAGGCTGCGGACAGGAGGCAGAAGCCCAGGCGGCAAGCTTCAGGAGACCCGGCTGGATGTTACGGACAACAGTGCTCCAGATCAGTGGTCTAACTCTGGGCGAAGTTCTTCAGGCTCCCTACACCTCTGTTTCCCCACCTAGCAAATGGGCAAGGCATGATGTGCTTATCTCACTGAAGGCATGAAGCCACCTCTGACCTAAAGGCAAGGCTGACCTGAGTTCTGGGGGGCCCGATAGTAGGCATTCTGGGAGGAGGACCGGGGGCCAGAGCCTAGGGACAAGCGGAGTGAGAAATGCTATGTGGGGCAGGGGAGAGCTCGGGGTTTGGCCTTGCCCTCTGCCCTGGGTAGGTTGGAGACCTGCCCTCTCTGGACCTCAGTTTCCTCATCTGTTCAGAGCCTTCCTACTCTGACATGTGGCTCTGGTGGGTGCTATGTCTGGACCCACCTCAAAGCATGTGTTGGGCTGTCACCACTGCACGGGGACCTCACCTGCTCCCAGATCACAGTGGCCTTGGCCTCAGTCTGATCTCTGTGTTTACTTTTGCAGAAACGGAGCCTCCCAGAAGGGGTAAGAACTTTTATCAGGGACGGGAAGAGAGGGGCAGGTCAGGATGGGGCAGGTTGCTCAACACCTGACGGGGTGAGCCTTAGTGACAGGTCCCTCTCAGCTGGCAAACAGCTCATGGCTACCTGGCCTGGCAGACCCATACCACTAGAAGGTCACTGGAAAACAAATGCCATGCCCCCTCAGACCTCACCCCATGTGGCAAGGAACTGCCTTCCTTCACAAACATAAGCCCTTACTAGTGCCCACTCTGTGCATGGGCTGGGGACACGAAGTGGCCCATCACACCCTCAAAAAACATCTTTATATCTATGTTTAACCCAGACCCTCCCTCAGCCTACTGCCCCCGTTGGAAAGAGGGCGTCGGGGGGGACACAGGTCATCTCCATGCACTGCTCTGGGCATGGCATATAAGTGCCTTTTGGGAGACAGAATCAGGCAATGGTCAAAGGACACAGGAGGCTGCCAGGCGTGTGTCTGTGTGAGTCTTTCAAAGGTGAAGCATGAAGTGTGAGTGGAAAGGGTAGGACAGGTGTTCCTGCTGCAGAGCATGGCTGCAGCGAGGAGTGAGCCGAGGAGGCAGGACCTGCCTGAGGAACTCAGAGCCATGGGAAGACTGTCCTGAGAGTAATGGGTGCATGGGAGGGCTTCAAGCAGGAGAGGGACAAGATCAGATTCTGGTTTTTGCAAGGTCTTACCGGCTACCGTTTCACATAGACCGGTTAAAGAGCTGAGAAGATAGAGCAGCCGTCAGAGCTGTGGTGTCCACTGAACATGGGCCAAGGATGCCACTCAGCGTCTGACATGGGTGACCAGGAGAATGGAAGAGTCACTGACCAGATGGAGACTTTGGAAGCTACAGAGGGGAGCTTGGGAGGACGGGGCCCCCCGTGCTCATGCCTGCTGACCACTACTCACCTCTACACAGGTGGTTAATGGCATCGAGGTCTACAGTACCAAGATCAGCAGCAAGGTCACCTCCCGCTTTGCGCACAATGTGGTCACTACACGGGCCGTCAACCGAGCAGACACGGCCAAGGAGGTCTCCTTTGATGTGGACCTGCCCAAGACCGCCTTCATCACCAACTTCACCTTGTGGGTGTCCCCATGGCAGTCGGCTATGGGCTCAGGAGGGGCGCCTGGCCCGGCACAAGCTCCTGACTTGCTCTTCCTACAGGACCATAGATGGTGTCACCTACCCTGGGAATGTCAAAGAGAAGGAAGTTGCCAAGAAGCAGTATGAAAAGGCCGTGTCTCAGGGCAAGACAGCCGGCTTGGTCAAGTAAGTGTGGTGTCCCCCTGCCCAAGACCCTGGGAGAATATTTGGGCTGTAAGGGCCCAGCTATTATTATTATTATTATACTATTATACATTTTAATACATTACATTATATTACTATTATACTGTATTATCTAATTATCACAGCAAAATATATCCATCATTTTTACATTATCCCATTTTGAAACTGAGGCCCAAGCAGGACTGACTTGTGCAGGATCCAGCAATTGTTGTCTTGCACCCCTATTTAGGGCTTCTGGGAGAAAGCTGGAGAAATTTACAGTCTCAGTCAATGTGGCTGCAGGCAGTGATGTCACCTTTGAGCTAATCTACGAGGAGCTGCTCAAGAGACACAAAGGCAAGTACGAGATGTACCTCAAGGTCAAGCCCAAGCAACTGATCAAGCACTTTGAGGTAAGAGCTCCTACAAGTCCTGCCGAATCCGCAGGCAGGGTGGGCGAGCCGGCAGGCTCCAGGGGAGAACCCAGAATGGGAGTCCAGGTCCCACCTCTTTGCTGAGGAGGCTCGGGGGGAATTAGAGTCCCTGGCAACAGCAATGGGGACGATGGGGAGGGGTCTGCAGTCTGCTAGACCTGGCAGATCCTGGTCGGCTGTTGGGCCCTTGCAGGCAGTGTCAATGTCTGTCTCACACTTGTCGTTGGTTATGTGGGGAATTTTACCTACCTCAGAGCTGAAAGCCCATGCAAACGCTTTAGTGGTGGAATGTGGGGTACCATCCGGAAGGTGGCGGAAGAGCTTGGGGTCAGAGTTCCCTTTTCTAAGTCCTTGTGGTCATTTTCTTGATGGGACACACTAGGCTTGGCGATCACAACGGTGTCTTAGAGAAAGTCCCTGCACTGTGATTGGCCCACCTCCTCCCCCTTGGCTTTGTCCTGGAGGCCAGCGTCTGTCCCATGATTGAGTGACCCCTCTTTGCCTTTGACCATTTCAGATCCAAGCAGATATCTTCGAGCCCCAGGGCATCAGCATGCTGGACGCTGAGGCTTCATTCATCACCAATGACCTCCTGGGCAGTGCCCTCACCAAGTCCTTCTCAGGAAAAAAGGTGGTGTAGATAGCTCTTGGCCTGCGGGGGCAGGGGCAGGACCCTAGTGGGACATGTTGACCCCAGTCTGGCCTGATGTGATAAGTGAAAAGATGTGTCATCTTTCTCCATGGCCACTTGGACCAGGAGTGAGGGTGCTTGAGGTGGGGGGGGGGGCTGTTTGCTGATGACTTGCTAGAGAAATTGAGGTCCCAATTATGCTGGCAGGTAGGGGAACCATCTTGAAGCCCTGTTGCTTTCCATGTTGAGAAGTGGGTAGGGCGGGTTACTGACCCTAGTTTACAAATGAGGAGATTGGGGACACAGGGAGTCATTTTGAACTATACATTGAGAGGTAAAAGATGAAAGAGAATTTCGTTCCTGGTGCTGGTGTCTGGCTCTGGTCCTCAAGACTCCCAAGTATACCAGGAATCTTGCTGGGTTTTGGCAAGGCATGAATAAACATTTACACCCACACAAACCTTAGTTGTGTAGGACTTCCATGAGAAGACCCCCAGGCACACCCCTGAGGGTGCTGGCTTCTGCTGGGTGGGGTCCTGTCCTGGGCCCCTGCTCCTCTTGTTTCTGCTCTCTTCTCTTTACCTTCCCTCCCCTCTCCAACCCATGCAACTCTACCCAACATGGTCATGGTGCATAACTCCCTTCCCTAAGTGGCTTCTTGGTGCTGAGCTCCAAGGTAGACTGAGTATGGGAGAGAAAAGAAGGGAGAGAGAAAAAGGCTGAGCTGACAGGGCCTCTGTCTCCAAGGAGCCCTGGTTTCTGAAGGGCAGAGAAGTGCTGCAAAAAGTCAGCACAGGCTGGATGTACTGCCCAGGCACCGTCTGACAGAAGGGCTGTGCTTCTACCTCGCAGGGTTGCCCTGGGCTGAGGGCTGCAGAGGGCAGACCCTGGCCAAGCTGAGCCAGCCCTCCATCTTCCTCCCTCAGGGCCACGTATCCTTCAAGCCCAGCTTGGACCAACAGCGTTCATGCCCAACCTGTACAGACTCCCTCCTCGATGGAGAGTTCACCATCTCCTATGACGTAAACAGAGAGTCTCCAGCTAACTTACAGGTACCCGCCAGCTGGCTCCACTGCCTGGTCAATTTCCCATCAAGGTGGATAAGAGCTGTTGTGGGGAGAGGCTGGTGCCACCACCCTCCACATTCAGCCCAAGGCCACGTTTCCTGCACAAGGGGATAGCAGGCAGTCCAGAGCTTTGGTGTGGTGCCCAGTGGGTGGGAAACCAAGGCTAGTAAATTCAATGTGAGGCCGCAAAAGTGACTTTGGCCTTCGGGCTCTCTCTGCCCTTTCCAGATCGTCAATGGCTATTTTGTGCATTTCTTTGCACCTAAAGACCTTCCTGTGGTGCCAAAGAATGTGGTCTTCGTGATTGATGTCAGTGGCTCCATGTCTGGTCGGAAATTAAGTCAGGTAGGTACTTCTCTGGGTGCAAGTGGGGCAGGGAGGAGGGAAGATGGACTTTTTTTTTTTTTGTTAAGTGGACAAAGCTGATACTTCTAGCAAATAGGAGGAAGGGGACAGGATAAAAGAAGACACCTGCATCTAGGCCTCTTTGTTGCAGGTGGCATGGGCCCACTGCCAACCTGGGCTGGACGGCCCTGGGCTATCTGCTGCTTGATCTTCGAGCCCTGAGCTACTTGTCTTTCTCTTCCCAGACAAAGGATGCCCTCCTCAAAATCCTAGATGACATGAAGGAAGACGACTTCCTGAACTTCATCCTGTTCAGCAGCGATGTGACCACATGGAAGGATAATTTAGTTCAAGCCAATTCTGAGAACATCCAGAAAGCCAAGGAGTTTGTGCGGGGTATTAAAGATTTAGGAGGTAAGAGTGGAGGGGAGAAGCTGTGGCCTATTTCCCTCCTGCCTCGGGCAGAGGCTCTGTGGTCCCAACCCTTGCAGACCCCAGACACCTGTAACATTGGGAGTGGGGCTCCCTAGGCATATCTCAAGATGTCTTCTCTGTGGGCTTGGGAAACCCATTCTTTCTATTTCTGACATACGATCTTGGTGAGATGAGGCCACAGGGAACACTTATCCTTGGCTAGTGCTTATGGAAAAAATCCCAGGTACTGCTCCCCACTGCTCCCTTCTCCCCCTGGTAAGAAGAGTTACCCACTGTTTCCCCAATTGATTTTATAATCGTTTTATGCTTCCATCCTTCTGGCAGTTCTAAGAGGCCTGCCCTTGCATCCCTGCTTGAAAAAGCCATTCAGCTACCACTCCCTGATTCATACGGTCACTATTTATCTTGTGCTACCTCGTCTCCCGGGCAAGGTTCCTGGGCACATGAGTGTGACCTGCAGTTCCGACCTCCTCCACCCGCGCCCAGAGGGCCCTTACCCACACTGCTGTCTGTCTGTTTACCAGCAACCAACATCAATGACGGGATGCTGAGGGGCATCAACATGCTGAAGAAGGCCCAGGAGCAGCAAACGTTCCCAAAAAGGAACACCGCCATTGTCATCATGCTGACCGATGGCGACCCTAATGTCGGTGAGGCAGAGGGGTGTGGCACAGTGCCTGGCTGTGCCCTGGTGCTACTGTAACAGCTCTAGCGAGGGTCCCCCACAGCCTGTGAGCCCCTCAAGGGCCAGGGCTTGCCTCCCCCAGCTAGAGCTCTCCATCCTCTGTGTTGACGGGCTGGTGGCCATGAAGCTGTCAACTGCAAGGAGTCAGGCATCTCCCGACAGAGCTACTTGTGACATTGACAGGGCTGTGGCTGGAGCATAACACCCCCTTCTCCTGCAGGTGAAAGTGACCCTGTAAAAATCCAAGAGAATGTGCGGAAGGCCATTGGGGGCAAGTTCCCCTTATATAACCTGGGTTTTGGCAACAATCTGAATTATAATTTCCTGGAGACTATGGCCCTGGAAAACAATGGCTTTGCCCGGCGCATTTATGAGGATTCTGATGCCAGTTTGCAGTTGCAGGTAGGCCTTGTTGTGGTGAGCGGCTCGTGACTCCCTCAGAACCTATCCACCATGCGATGGGTTCAGTTACTAGAAAGAGCTTCTGTGTGAGTTAAAATTGACCTCTGGCTCTTTCTTATCCAACAGTAATGGTTCTGAGTTTGTGTTTGGGCTACACACGAACAGACCTGCTTCCTCTGTAGGACTGCCAGCTCAAATATAGTACAACCTGTATTTGAAAAAAAAAAAAAAGAACTTTGACACATGAAATGATATTTTAATGTGAACATGCTGCAAATAGTGCATAGACATCTCATGGGTTTGCTGGAGCTGCTGTAACAAAGTGCCATAAGCTGGGGTACTTACATGACAGAAAGCTAGGGCTTCACAGTTCTGGAGGCCAGAGCTCCAAACTCAAGGTGCCCTTTCACATGGTCTTCCCTGTGTGCATGTCTGTCTCTGTGTCCAAATTCCCCCTTTTGTAAGGACACTGGACACTGGATTAGGGCCCAGCCTTATGACCTTATTTTTATTTGCTACCTCTGTGAGGATCTTGTTCTCAAATCAGACCATAACCTGAGGGTCCAGGGATAAGGACTTTAACATAGTGTTTTAAGGCACAGAGTCAAACCTTAGCAGACATACTTATGCTAATGATTTTCGGTTTATCTGACACTCACATTTGGTTGTGTGGCCCTGTATTTGTTCTGTCTGGCAACCCAGGGCAGGGGCCTCATGTCTCTTCTGCAGTGGCCCCCAGGCCTTCATGCCCATCTGCCTCTGGGTCGCTATTCTCCCACTCCACATAAGCTTCCCTTTGTGCCTTTCATTCCAACCAGTGCTTCTTGAGTACTGTCTACACAAGGAAAACTCTGTCCTTCCTTTTCTGTTCTTCCCAGTCTTTACCTGGGGGATAGGGATGACTCCCACAAATTTCAGGGTACAGTCAAGACACATGGAAGTGGAATCAGAAGCCAGAACTAGCTCGGCCTGAGGGACTCACGGATTCACTAAGATGTCAGTAGGATCCTGCCCACCCTGGAGGCCTGAAATGACCAGGTCCCTTCTCTGGACTCCAGGGTTTCTATGAGGAGATAGCCAACCCATTGCTGACAAACGTGGAGGTGGAGTACCCTAACAATGCCATCCTGGACCTCACCAAGAACACTTACCAGCATTTCTATGATGGCTCTGAGATTGTGGTTGCTGGACAACTGGTGGACAAGGACCCGAGCCGTTTCAAGGCGGATGTGAAGGGCCATGGGGTGAGCTGGGGATGGGGAATCAGCACTGATGGGGTGCCAGCCTCCTGGCAGTGCGGATCCCCAACGAGCTCAACCTGGTCCTTGGCCTCCAGCTCTCAATTCTCTCACCTCCTCCCACCCCCCACTGCAGGCTATCAATGACCTGACCTTCACAGAGGAGGTGGACATGAAGGAGATGGAGAAGGCCCTGAAGGAACAGGACTACATTTTTGGGAACTACATAGAACGGCTCTGGGCCTACCTCACCATTGAGCAGCTGCTGGATAAACGGTGACCCTCGCCTAACCCTACACCAGACCCCTGGAGCTTCCCAGCACATTCCTGTGCCCTGTATTGGTTATGCCCTGGGGAGTTCAAGAGTTGGAAAACTTGGCCACATCCCCAAGCCCATACCCAGCTGTTCTGCCCTCTTCTTGGCCTAGCTCACAGGATGCTTTTCCAGGGGCAGAGTCTAGGCTGGCATTTGGGTTTCAGAGGCAGCCTGGGGGGCACCTTAAGCATTTTATTCCCTACACCCAGCACAGGCCAACAGAGATGGCAGGGCTGCACACAGAGGGCAGAGCTTGGGTCCATTTGAGGGCCACGTCGGCTTTCTTTTACGGGACTAGCCACTAGCCCTTGGTGCAGGGTCTGGCAAGTGCTAAGAATTCAGCATGTAGATGCTATCACGAGGGGTTATGGCAGTGGCCATTACAAGCCCCTCATATCATGGGTGGGAAAACTGAGGCCAGAGAGGAAAACAGGGCTTGTCTATTTGTCCCAGGGATGGTGCACCAGTCTTTTCTGAGTTCTAGTGGGCTCCAACCTTGGGAGGGGGTGTCCCCGCACAGCCACTGGGGAGTCAGAGCAAGAGAAGGCTGGCAGGGAGCTGGGTTGATCCTTCCACCCCACACCTCCCACAGCAAGAATGCCCATGGCGAGGAGAAGGAGAACCTCACAGCTCAGGCTCTGGACCTGTCCCTCAAGTACCACTTTGTGACTCCACTGACCTCCATGGTGGTGACTAAGCCAGAGGACAATGAGGACAAGACAGCCATCGCTGACAAGCCTGGTGAAGGTGTGCATGGTCCCAAGTTAGAGCCTTCCTTTAGGGCCTAGGCTTTGGGTGCTGGGAGTAGGCCAGGCTGGAAAGATCTCAAACTGCTGAAGAGAGCCAAGGCGACAGGGCATTGAAGGAAAACAGTCTAACAGCTGGTCAGCGGGTTGTGAGGGCGTGAAACTGGCAACATGGACTGTGAGTGTTGTGGGGAGAGGAGCGTCTGAATCTCTAAAGGGATATGAGTAAAGGGGTCCTCATAGGGTCACTTGCAAGAAATACTTCCAGCTAAAAGTTAGGCCTGGAGCAGGCAGCTGGGGATAGTGGGGGGGAGACCTGAGATATGGAGGCTGGGACCATCTGTTATACCAGCCCTGAGAAGGGAGCCCTGAGTGTCCCTGCAACTGGAAAAGAGGGGTGGAGGGTGGGGGCTGGGGATGTACCAGGGAGGCATGAGCTGAACCAGGCCACACTGCTGGAGCCACACTCCAGGAGCTCCTGCTCCAGGGGAGATGCTATGGGGTTCCTGCTGGCTACTGGAGACCCACACCTTGGGCTGGTCAGCCAGGCAGCAACCCAGTCACTTTGGCCTGGATAACCAGAAGCCTGTGGTTTCTGATACGCTTCTTTTCCTCTCTTTCAGGGTCTATGGATGCAGCAGGTGAGCTTTAGCCAGAAGCTAGGTCAGTATCCCAGGAGGGAGACAAGACATAACCAAGGAGGCCTTTCCAAGCACAGAGGATGCCAACCCCAAGGGGGCACCCTAGGATGCCTGGGCACAGCTCTCAATTCTGCTGCCAACTCACAAATGACCTTGGCCAACTTCTACCCCTCTTGGAGCCTCAGGATCCTGCCAGTTGATGATGGGCTTCCCCTGCTCCAGCAGGGACCATCAGTATAAAACTACTCCGACCTGCAAAAATTTGCAGTTTTCCATATCAAACACAGACAGTTAACCCCACAGCAATTCTCTGAGTTCTTGTATGGTTCCCACTTTACAGTGAGGAATCTGAGGCAGAAAGAGAGTAAATCTAGGTTTGAAGACTGTTGGTAGATGGCCAAGTCCAGACTCCATCCCAGGCAGGCTGAGTCGAGTGCCTAAGCTGGGACACACAGCTCTCCCTTCGCTCTCAGTATGAACTGGTGCCTCACCCTCCACAGACCCACCATCACCAGGCAGGGCCTCTCCTGCCGCTGCCTGCCTGCCCTACTTCCATCAATACAACTGACAGCTCGTGCAGGCCAGTCACCGTGGGCCCCTCCAAGCAGCTCAGCCCAGGGCGTGTCACTGCTGAGTACCTGCACAAGCATGTGTGTGTGTGTGTGTGGGGGGGTGTTGGAGAGGGGCCTCTGCCAAGGGGCCTCACCACCCCGCAACTGGGGGTGGGTGTGAGCATTCCTCGTGACAGAGAAATTGACAAACCAGAAGCTCACCTGCCCACCATGCCAAAATGCCATGTCCCAGCCCTAGAAAGGATTTCCTTAGCATCCCCCATTTCTAAAACTTAGGGGTCACATCTTTATTCTCTGTCAGTCAACTGGCCACTGGGGCCCCAGTAGCTCCAGAAAGCTTGGGTTTGGTGGAGGGAAGACCTCTAGACCTCACTCACAACAGCCCTCTGTCTTCTCTTACAGTGCTCCCGTCCACAGCCTACCAGGGTGAGTAGTGCCGGAGGTGGCGTGCTCACTGCCGGGCCTGGCCCTGTGCCATCGCCCTCTGGAACCTTCCCTGAATTAGCACTCCGGGATGGGCATATGTTATAAGTTCTGAAGGGCTGAGGGCATGAGGGAGCAGCAAGAGGATCTGGTGTACAGGGCTGCTTGTTCAGCTCAACTTTCTCTCCCTTTGCATCCACAGTCAGCTACGATCCTCCTCAAACACCCTATTACTACGGTGAGTTCCTTGGCTCCTCCTGGGGCTCTTCAAGGTCCAGGGCAGCACCTCTTGCTTGTCCAGGGAGTATGGGGAGGTCCCTGGAGTAGTAAGAGGCTCCAGGAACCAGCCCCTTCTCTCTGATGTGCCCTCAGTGGATGGGGACCCGCACTTCATCATCCAAGTCCCAGAGAAAGATGATGCCCTCTGTTTCAACATCGACGAAGACCCAGGCACAGTGCTGCGCCTCATTCAGGACCCTGTCACAGGTGTGGGCTACAGCCTGGAGCTGGGGCAGGGCTTTTTCTGGGAAGGTCTGGAGCTCCCCAAGATGGGCACATGGACCATGTCCTCACTCTGCCCATAATGTGCCCATCTTTATATGTACATCACATCCAGAGCCGCTGGCTCACTGAGTATTACCCCGGGTGAAAGATGACCTGGGCCTGGAATGGTTTTTCTCTCACTCTTGCCTGGCCAGGCAAGGGGCAGATCCACAGTCCTCAGCTAACAGTGTGACCCAAAGTGTCTAGGAACAGACAGGGTTGGTCTCTCCTTGGGGTCCCACCCTACTATCCCTAAAATAGGTCCTTAAAGGCCGGCCTGGACTCAGGTTTTGCTGCTCTGTCCCTCTGGCAGGCCTCACAGTTAATGGGCAGATCATTGGTGACAAGACAGGCAGCCCTGACTCTAATACCAGAAAGACTTATTTTGGCAAACTGGGCATTGCCAATGCGCACATGGACTCCCGGATTGAGGTGACACCGGAGAAGATCACTCTGTGGAATGGGGCTGCACGGAGCACCTTCAGCTGGCTCGACACAGTTACGATCTCACAGGATGGGTAAGGCAGGCCTCACTACTAGGTCTCCGAGGGACACTGTGCTAGAAGAGGACTTGAGGGACAGGTTAGCTCCCAGGACAGGAGATCCACAGGGGTCACAGTCTGGTGTCCTCAAAGTCCAGCTCCCGCCCCAGGAGGGCCATGGTGGCCTCCAAACAATGCCTGGGCTCCCCTTGGGGCTAGAGTTGAGGCTGGACAGTTCATACAATTGACTTTGAGAGAAGTGCTGCATGGAAGGAGCCATTAAACGGGTCTACAGGTGTGATGACCTACCTCCATGTGCATCTTCTCTGGCTGAACTGGCCGGTTCTCAAAATTCTCAGGTTCTTTTATGTTGTCCAGAGCCTATGGGCCAAGGGCAGTAGTGTTACTCCAACCGAGGCTCAGAGAGGGGGTAGAACCTGTCCAGTTCACACAGGGAGCCAGCTTCTGACCTGGGACTGCTCCGTGGGTTTTTGCACGGCAGCCCCTTTCCTGATGGTTAAGGAACATGCTCAGGGGAGGGTGTGGACAATATGCAGGGTCTCCAGAGTCTTGTGTCATCAGGAGTCACGCATGGGGAAGGTCCCACCAAGACCCTTGATTCAGATGCTCAGCGCATGACCACTGGGCTCTGCTTGCTGACCCCCTCTGCTTTCCTAGGATGTCCGTGAGCATCAACAGGAAAAAGAACATGGTGATCTCCTTTGGAGATGGGGTTACCTTTGTGGTCATCCTGCACCAGGTGTGGAAGAAACATCCCTTCCACCAGGACTTTCTGGGCTTCTATGTGGTAGACAGTCACCGGATGTCAGCACAGACACATGGACTGCTAGGTACAGAAAGCCAAGCTTCGGGCTGCTCAGGTCCCATAACTGATGGCAAACACTATTCTAGTCACCCCATTCCCAGCGCACACACTCAGCCTTTGCCTCAATCTAGTGGCCATGTCACCTACGGTCAGGCCAGGGGCTGACTGTGTGAATGTTTTTTATTCCCAGGACAATTCTTCCACCCCATTGACTTTAAAGTGTCTGACATCCACTCGGGCTCGGACCCCACAAAGCCACAAGCCACAATGGTAGTGAAGAACCAGCAGCTGACAGTCACCAGGTGAGGCGATCCGGACAGCCTCATGCTGCTCAGTAACAAGATAGGAAAGAGCTCTCCCTGGCCACCCATAGGCCTAGAATCGGTAGCTTCACACCCCTTTTCAACCTTGGGGCAACAGCTTAGCATCTATCTCGCCCACCTATGTTTCATGGTATCTCTCTCCTTTCTCACAGGGGCTCCCAGAAAGACTACAGGAAGGATGTCAACATAGGCACAAAGGTTGCCTGCTGGTTTGTCCACAACAATGGGCAAGGACTGATTGATGGCGTTCACAGCGACTACATTGTCCCTGACCTGTTCTGGGCAAGCCCTCTCCTGCCGAGAGCCCAGCTTGCCTGGCCTCTGGAACAGGGGCACAGAGCAGTGTCAATGGGAGGACTGTGGCAATAAAGCCTGAGGTGGAAGCCAGACCCCACCAGCCTCTGTGTCCTCTGTGAGCCCCTTCTCCAGGGGACCGACAGGCAGCTGGCAACTCCAAGGACAGCTGGCTGGTAGGAAGTTCCTGGGCTTTTCCCCAGAGTGGCCGAGAGGCATGTGGGTAGCATGTCACTTCGCTGAGTTAATGTATAATGGTTTGGAAAGGAGAAGAGACCATGAACTAACTCTAGAGCAAAGGGGCTCTGGCAAATCGGGAAGGCCTGAGCACAGTTCAGGGAATAAAAGAATCAGAAAAAGTCAGGGACACTGACTCAAGAGCGATCCTTCCATGACTTGGAAACAGAGAATGCTCCAGGCAGAGTCATTCATTCCTCCAATCATCTAGTCTTCCATCTACTATCTGTCCATTTCTCCATCTGTCTGTCCACCCACCCATCTGCTGTCCATCCATCCATCAGTTGATAAACTCAATACTCTGGGCCAGAATCTGGGGCTCACAGCATAGTAAACCCACTTCCTATTTGTATGGATGTCCCAAATATGCCTTCAGCTGGATTAGGATCCTCCAATCATACCTCATGGTGATCACCTGCTTCACTCTCACACGATGAGTCCCAAGTGGGTGGCGGTTCAAAGAGGGGAGGTGGGTTGCTCCAAGACTCAGTGCCAGAGCATGCACCCTCATGTGACAGGCCTGCCCCTGTTCAGTCCCTGGCCACTATGAGCCATGAAGTTTAAACCAGTCATTTTGAAGTGGTGGGTCTTCACATCTTTGAAATGGGGAGAAAGATCCTGCCAGGTGTGAAAAGGCCCCATCATGATGATGGCATTGGGTTCTCCCAAGGTGCAGTCTTCATCCTTGGGGTCCAGGCAGCAGCCTGGCCCAGCCAGCTGGAAGGGGGACAGGAGGCCCCAGTGGGAATTGTGTCCTTCCCCACAGTGCGGGTGGGAGGGCTTTCACACAGACGAGACCTGCACAGATCATGTTTTCTTCCTAATCCATGTCATTCTGGCCCTACTCACCCTGACCGTAGCTGCTGATGGCACCCTGGCCTGCAGGTGGCAGTCATGCTCCATGGTGCAGTACACAGCCAGGGCTGGCCTGGCCCTGACTTCCCACTTCTCCAAAATCTCCTTCACACCCCCAGCACTGCTGTCCTTCACCTTCCCTGATTGCTATTCAGTGTCATGGCTATAGGCCTGGTGTGCTTGCCCCCTTTTTCCATTGGGCTAACTTCTCTTTGTTCTTCAGAACTCAACCTTAATAACCCTACTTCCAGGAAGCCTCTCTGATGTCACTCAGGTTGGGCAAGATTTCTCCTGCAATAGCTGGTAATTTGCTGCATGGGAGCTGTCCCAACAGCCACTGAGTCTGTCATGCCGCCCAGTGGACCCAGCACTCAGCCTGGGCCTAGCCTAAGCAGTGCTAGAATTTGGTAAACAAAACAGAAGTGCATGGTCTGTTGTTCATGAAGGACACCTGCAGGCAGTGCTGACTGGACCAGAATGTCACCCATGAGCCCTCTGCCTTTACACATGTTCCACATGCCAGCCCAGTCCAGGTGGTGGTGTCTCAGAGGGACAAGCTTGGTTAACCCTCTCCAACCTGGGATGTCAGAGCCAGCTCCACAGCCAGTCTGACAGCCCTGAGGCTGCTCCCTGTCAGAGCTGTCGCTGGTTTCTTTGAGTGACCTTCACCACAAAGTCACTCAGCCTGAGGCTCTCCCCCACTCCACCCCCAAGCAGGCTTGATGGAGAGGACGCAGTGCAAGACCGTGTGTTTGCTGCTGGAAACCCCACACCAGGTCTCCTCTGACCCTTCTAGAAAAACTCAGTCAGCAAAACGCCCTATATTACTCAAGAGCTGGAATAAGCATGTTTACCCTGATGACTTGGTTTGCTCATTTTCTGCTTTGCCCTGCTGCCAGGAAGCTCAGAAAAGATCTTTGAGCGTCCCATACCTTATGTCTCTGAGTTTATTCTCCTGCTTGGCTCTTTTCACTTATTCTTAGGGTTTTTTTTTTTGTTTTATTTTCTGAGTGCCTTTTATTTGCAAATCTGAGACTTGTGTCATTATTTTAGAAGTACAAATAGTTATACTCTCAAACTATGCTTTGCCTATGCAGTAATAGGTGGAACTTTTGGAGCGTCTAGTTATGGGCTACAGACAGGAGAGGGGCCCTCAGCTGCCCAGAATTGGAGGTTCCAGGAACAAGCCTTTGCTTCCCTCCTGGGGCTGGGGTCTCCTTTATGTCTTTGTCTTCCAATGCTAGTTTCTTTATATTGCTGAGAGTTAGGCCTGTTCCAGAACATGGATGTGAAAATCAAATTGCATCATGTTTATTGAACATGTGCTGGGAACCTACAAAGGACTTCTACCTAGTTCCCTTTTTTCTTGATTCAAAGCTGGTTTTCACAAATGGAATGGCCACAAAGCAGACTGAATTTCTGCTCCTAAGGAATATTCTGTTCTAGGGCCCAAGCTGGGGGCAGGAAAGACATTTTAAAGGACTAATTAACCTCTCTAAACCTTCATTTTCCTGCTTATAAAACAAAAGGGCTGGGCTGCAAGCTTTCTATGGTCCTTAGTAAGCACAGGTCTATGTGAAGCTAACAGTAGAATTTGTTGTTACATGAGGTTAAGTGTCCAGGGTGCGATTCTGAGGGCCAACAATTTGGCCAGATGGAATCAGAGATGCCTACTTCCTGGCTCACATCACCTTTTTTATTTTAATGAGTGAAAATCCTCTCCCCATCACTGTCCAGGCCTCACAGGTGGCCTGGGGACCCCAAGGTGACAATCTTTTGCACACAGGAGGGTAAAACGTGGGTGTGACCCCCCATCAGAACTATAGCTCCACAGTCCAGCAGGAAATATCTCTGCCTGGCAGTCCCTCTTGGTAATCCAGCTTGAGCTCTCTAGAACAGACAGAAGGACAGTCAGATGAGTGGTCAGCAAATCTCAGCTGTGGTGGGAAGGCAGGGAGACAGCTGGAGATAGGGATGCAGAGGGTGAAGAGTCCTGGGGCCCCTTGGATGTCCCTCCAGCACAGGCTGGCCAGGTCTGGTCACCTGCGGGGTCCCCGTCATGTGTGGCCTCCAATAGCCAGGGTTCTGCGAGTCAGTGGTAGGTAGGGTATTTCCTCTAGTCCCCAACTCACTCTAGTGATCCCTGGGATTCAATCTTCATCTGATTTTCCAGGCAATGATGCAGGAATGGGGACCCCCAGAGCTCAGAGCCCAGGTCCCAGTCTCCCAGCCCCTACCCTGGCCAGACTGGGGTCCAGGGTGCTGAGTCACCTGGTTGCAGTGTAGTCATGACCCTGAACACTCAGAGTTCGCTTGCTGTCGTCATCTGCTGCTGGAGGTCCCCAGAGCACATTCTGGTAAAATTGGCCTGAGATACAAAGGCGGGTCAGTGAGGGTAGAGGGAGATTGGGGGACACACAGAGGATGCCCCAAGCCCAGACCATGGGCCTCATACCAAGGCTCCCTGCAACATGGCTGGAGAAGCGATCGGTGTCCCGAAGAAGGAGTTGTAGCCCTTTCCCGGGGCCGCCCCAAGACAGGAGGCCGATGGTCACTTTGTCTGGGCTGCTGAGCAGCAGGAGGCCTGCCTTGTCCATGGTCATCTTCAGGCTGTGGAGAAACCCAGCACCCTGAGCAGGAAGGCTGAGGGAGCGGGCGACAGGCTGGGCCTGTGCCTGTCTCAGGGACTGCTGGTGGGGCCTTCGGGGCAAGTTCCTTGGCCATCTAAGCTGCGGCTTCCCTGCTTGCTGGCTGGGACCACAGTGACCCTGCTGACATCCAGTGACCCCCACATTGATAAAGCAAAGTAACAGCTCCTTTCCCTCTCACAGCCTTAGATTTGGTTTCTCAGTAATTCACTTGATAGGATTTCAGAGGTTCCTGAATACATTTACTCCTCCCTTTGGTTTTATGGCCAGCCTCACTTTCTTTTGAAGGTTATCATCTACGTGTGTTTAATGGTTACAAGAACAAATCCCTTCTCATTCTTTCCCCTGCTCTTTTAATCTCCGAAACTCCTACCTTTCTGGGTTTGTTTTTTTTTTTTTTTTTTTTTTGGAATCTTAGACTCCTTTAAGCATTTTGAATAAGACTGTGGCTACTCTGAGGTTTAAGTGGAATTGCCCTAAACAAACACTGTACTAAAATCAATGTTAAAAAAAAAAAAAAAAAAGCATAGTCTATTTTACTTTCTGGGTATTTTCTGTAGCTCATGAGAGTACACTGTAATCTGTAATTAATGGGAATTGTTTATCCACCTCTTGATGTGCATGTGTATTTATCAGATGGATCTTTGTGTATTTATCAGGTAGACAGGAAACTAGTATATATTTTTCATGAAACTGAGAGGTTTTTGGTGAGCCCCTGGGTTTGCTAGGTGCACTCTCGCTTGCCAAGTGGAAATGGGTCTCTGCTGAGGGGCTCAGTGAAAGGGCAGGCAAACTCCCAGACTCAGGAAAGACAGGCTAAGGCCCCCGCTGGGCATTGGCCGCGCAGGTCCAAGAGGCCTGGCATGCTCAGCCCTCCCTGAGGCCACCTGTGACTTTAGTGGGAGAGTCGCCTCTGGAAGGCACTGAGGTGGGGCGCCTCACCCAGAGAGGTCTCCACCCACCCCCCTTACCAGCCAGCTGCCAGATGGACTTGTCTCTCTCCTCTTGAGAGCTTCAAGCATTCATACCTACCTCCAGTGGACGGTGCTGTCCAGAGTCTCATATTTTGACTCCACCACCAAGACGGTGTGCTGGAATGCACCGCAGTCTCACGGAAAAGGCTCCTTGGCCACATTCTTTCATTGGAGTCTCCCTCAGTCTCTAACTCAGGACTGGGGTGACTCGCTCTGACTATCAGGGGGGAAACTGAGGCACAGAGGACTGAAATGGTCCACTCAGAGTCACACAGCAGAGCTAGCTCCAAGACGAACTGCACAGGGCAGTGGTCTGGGTCAGGGGCGAGGGCAGCCAGGGCCCCAGGACATCCACTCTGTGCCCTCCAGAGCAGGAAGAGGACAATGCAGCCGCCACTCCCCATAGGTGCAACCCACTGCAGAGGACTCGTGACAGGCCGCGCCAGCCCCGGGGTGGTGGCCTCGGCCGCCCATCTGCGCCATCACCAGCCAACTTGGCTCAATAGGTCATGGCCGGCACCCAGCCTGGGGCTTACCCGGGCATCACAGAGTACAGCATTTCCTTCCACTTGTATTCAGAGCTTCTTCGGTTCCGAGTCACCACCACATGCTCAGGGGTTGCTCGGACCTGCAGCTGAAGGTTCTTGAAGTTCACCTCAATCCATGAAAATTGGGCCTTCTGTGTGTCGTACTCACCAGTCACCTCAACCCCTGAGAGGGCCAGGAGCAGAGAGGTCAACGCTGTGGCCCGATTGGGAGGGCCTCCTGGGCTCTGTGCCTGGGAAGTGTTCCTCACCAACTCACCCCTCAAACCCCTTCCCCTTCCTCGGCATTCCCTTGCACTGGGGGCCTGTTCTCACAATCTTTCCACTCATCTCTTGGTTTCATAAGCCTCTGGAAGGGCCCCCAAATGGTCCCTCTGGGGGGGGGGGAAGCAGAAGGGAGCTCTCAAATGAAGTTAAAATAGGTTCATAAAGACCCTGCAGTGTACCCACCTTGGGCCAAGTGCGTGACCAAGAGCATGATGGAAAATTGCAGGTCCCCACACTTAGGGACTCAATAAATTCCAGGCCTGGCGTGATAAAGTGGGAGACCATGGGGAACTAGGAGGAATGAGGGAGCTGTTCCTGCAGTCTCAGAGCCCCGCAGGTGTGTGTGTGAGCAGCCCCAAGTGCTGTGTGTCCCACATCTGACCTGATACCTCAGCTTGACCAGAAGACGCTTCTAGGGGGTTGAGGACTGTCTGGCCAGCACCCCTACCTCTTCTCACTACTCACTTCCTCCACACCCTACAATCCCATCAGCAGCTTGCACGGCTCTGTGCTTCTCCCTACGCCTTCCTCTAGTAGACCCCTGTTTGTCTGCCAAGGCCCATAACTCCTGTGTGACTTTATTCAGTCTCCCCCAACATCAGGCAGCTCATATTGTCCCCTCTGGACTCATCTCTAAATCACTTTGGGTGCTGACAAAGGCCACCATGCTCCTCTGCTCTTGGGCCTGTCTGCCCACCCCCAGTGGTCCCTTGGGATAAGCCCACACTGGTCAGCCAGGGTACCCAGGCCACACAGATCTGCATGTGTGGGGGCTGGGAAAGGTCTGCGGGGTGGGATGTGGCGCAAGTGTCCATGGCCATGTGGCCAGGCCAGCTTGGGCTAGGTCCACACACATGTGTCTCCATGGGCAGGGGTCCACTCTTGCCCCCAGGGTGGGGTGAATGGTTGGGTGGCACCCCTCACCTTGCTCAGGGTCTGAAATCAGGTTCATTGGCCCCTGGGCACGCTTGATGTCCACACAGAGATGGTCCTCACTCTGGCCGAGCAGTGGCAGGATGATGGGCGGAGCCTGGGTGAGGTCTGGGACAGCAGGTGTTGTTTCAAGGGTAGGTATAGGGAGTAGGGGTTAAGAGGGAGGACAGTGTGGGGTTGGCAACTTACCTGGAGGTGGGGCTGTCACCCTTACGTCTGAAAGAAGGAAAAGTCCAAGTTTAGGCAGCCCTTCTTGGGGAGTTGGGAGGGCGGGTGTACCCAGTGGGTGGGTGTGAGTGGGGCCCCCACTCTACTTCCACATTGAGACCCCAGGGACCTCCCTGCCACAGGGCAAGGGTCTACCGCAGGAGGTCTGGCCTGGTGAGCACCTTTTTTTAAAAAATCCGCACCAATGAACATCTCAACAGGCGCAGCGGGAGCTGGTAGCGCTGAAGCAGTGCAGCAACGGCCAGAAACAGAAAAGGGAGTCAGAGGTCCCCGTGATGTGCGTGTGCTCCTGCCATCGCAGCCAGCTGCCACCCACACACTCCAGTCCCACACCCCTGGCCACACTTAACCCCACCTAGGAGGGGCTTTGCAAAGAGATTTTTAAATGAAGAACACGCTGTTAGGGAAAATGCTGAGGGGATAGGGCTGAGCTCCACCCTCTGAGTTCAGATTTGGAAACCAGAAACTGTTGGCTTTGTGGATGGAGGAATCCTTAAAAGCTCCCATCCTGAGTAACCCCCAGAGTATAATAATAATCCTACTGTGACAATAAAGGACACTAAGGATGTGCCCACCGGAGTCTTCCTGGTCTGCATCCAGGCCTGTGCTTTGGCTCCTCCAATGCTATGCTCAGATTCAAGCGTCATCATGAGGAGACTGAGGCCCTACGAGGGCCGACAGTGACTTACTTTTTATCAGTTTTGTTAGCCTTGGCCTTGAGAACTTGCGGAAGGAAGGGCTGTCAAGAGGACCAAGAAGGCCAGGGGCTCTCTCTCTCCTTCCGGCATCAACTTTGTCGGAAATCCTAGCTTTAAGAAAGGTGTCATATGCAGTCTTCTCGCAAGCAGGGCCACGTTCCCAACCTGGGGCTCAGGACCCATTCCAGGAGAGGGATGCGAAGAGGCTGATGGCTCCCTCCCCACACCTGCTGCCCTGAGAGCCTTTCTCCCCCTAGCTGAGGGCAATTCAAAGCAGGAGCTTCTCCCCAATGATGTACCAGGTACTCCAAGCCCACCCTATGGCAGTGCCCTCAAACTTCTCTCTTTTCAGTGAAGAGATGGATGTTCTAGCTGCCCCCTAAACAGACACATGTGGACTTAGTCCTGGGGAACAGTCAAGCAAGTTTCTCCCTTCGCAGCCAGGGCACAGGCAGGGGACAGAGTTGTCAACCTTCCCTCCCCCTCCCTCTGCCCCTAGGCTACCTTGTATTCTGGGCATTCCGCTTGCTGGGTCAGGAATACTGAAGAAACCTGGAAATCAGAGAGAGAGCTGGGTAGGCTTTTTGGATGTCTCTGAGGCCCCCAGATTAGATGGGATCTCTGCCCCAAACCAGGGCGCCATACCTGAATGAACAGGCAGAAGCCACCTCCGGCTGGAGGCAGGGCTAGGCTAGTGAGACCCTGGCCAGTGACTGCCAGGGGCTGCTGCCCGTGTCAGCCACCCTCACCCCCACTAGCCTTTGAGGGCCCTTGAGGTCCCTTACCTGGGAGCCTACTCCTGAGGTTTTGTTCTGGATAGAGGGAGAGGGAGAGGAGAGACAGGAGGAGAGAAGCAAAGAGAGAGATCTCAATGAATGTGAAGTAGTTATATTTAAATTTACTTCCCAATCTCAGCACTACTTAGGTGACAGGTGCAGTGAATTGGGGGGTAAGGAGACTTAGCCTCAGTTTCCTCATCAGTGATACAGGATGAGTCTCCCTGGGCTCCTGGGAATCTGTGGGTGGCTGGACTTGGGTTGCTGTCAGGATGCAGGGGAGGGTCTTGGGAGAAGGCTGGGTCCAGACTCCTGCAGTGGAGGCTGGGACACCACTGCCAAACTCACCATTTTCCACGGGCTTCTCCACAACTTGAGACTGTTCTTGGCCTTCGGGTTTGGTGACCACCATAGATGTGAGGGGGGTGACAAAACTATAGTTGAGTGACAAGCTTAGAGCTTGGGCCTCAAGTGCTGGCTTCTCAGTATCTGATGCAGAAACTCTGCAGGTTGAAGACATTAGCTCAGCAGGTCTCTGGATGCCTGGTCAGATTCTCCCTTCCTCCCAGACCTGCCAGAGATCCCACTGAGACAGTCTGGGGCTCAGACATAACAGCAAGACCCCCTCCTCCAGGCCTAGAAGACCCCATGCCAGCTGTACTCGCTCAGGAGGGGCTGAGGCCACCCCAGCAGGCCCTCAAGGGCACAAGTCACCCACATCTGCTCCAGGAGTTGCTGGACGGTCAGGTATGCCCAGAGTCTCTCCATGAAGCCGTGGAAGATGTACTTGGGGCTCTGGAACATCTGCTCCTGCTCTGCCTTGCTGGACTCCGTTTGGAAGGTGATATTCTGCTTGTGCTGAAAAAGAGGGGCTGAGTAGGGCAGGAGCAGTGAGAGCTAAGGTTCCCCACCTGGCATAGTGCTTCTGAGCATTCAAACAAGAAAACTGGTTGGACCTGGACAGGCCCTGTGCCTAAGGACCACATTTCCTTTGAGTAGAGCACAGGAAGGGAGCTTAGGTGTGCAGGGGGCTCAGCCACCAAGCCTCCAAGGGTGATAAAGAGTTAAAAGAGGGTGGAAATAAAAGGTAGTAAGCTATCCCAGGTGCACCACAGCAGCCAAGAGCCAAGAGCTCAAGTCAGACGGCCAAAGGGAAATGAGGGAGGGATCCGAACCCTACGTCAGCAGGCAGAGGGCCCCCAGGGACAGCCCACTCTCCCTCCAAAGACTGAGGCCCTGGGAGCAGAGAGGAAGCGCCTTCCCAGCAGGCAGTGGCAGAGTTCCGAACTCAGGGGTCATCATCCCGGTGGGGCTGGGGTCCCATCCACCCCAACGAGCTCTCCCCTGCCCAAGTTGGTGCCCTTTCTTGGGGCACTGTGGGATGGGAAAACGAGTGCCTGGGCTCTGGGGGCACTGCCATCTCCCTCCCCAGAGAGGGGCCTCTGTCCCAGGCTGACCTGGCAAGTGGGCTGGGGGCAAAGGAGCCCTAGCCCCCTCACACTGCTCCCCACAGCAGCCATAGAGCTGCTAATCGCTGGGGATCAGACCCCGCCACCCGTGCTGGAACTACCCTCCCATCTCTCGGGGACAGGCCTCCCAGTTTTCTCACATGCAGGACTTCTGCAAATTTTATCTTCTCCACACATACGCTATTTGATGGTTTTCTTTAGATGAACTTTAAATAGACTAAGACTTCTTATTTGACCTTGTTCCAAACAATATAACAGAGAAATATCAGATCTGGGCTTTGGGTTCTCCCTCCCTGGTGGCGCAGCGGGTTAAAGCACTGCACTAAGAACCTTAAGCCACTTCTGCATGAGTTCGATTCCCGCCTGCCCCGGAGGAGATCCACATGGTGTGGCAGACCTCTCCTGACCCACCCGCTGCTCCCCTCAGCAGTGTACTTTGATCATCTGCCTGTTCTGCTCCCCACTCGGTCTCTGGTGAATACTCTCACCCTCCGCATCTCTGGCCTGTACCCCAGTTCTGTATGAATAAATAAATAAATCTTTAAAAACAAATAAAGACAGTGAAATAAAAACATACTTGTTTGTGAATTACCCCAGGTCACAGTGAGTTCCACACTTAGGGAACCCCTGGCCTCAGGGAAAACATCAAGCAACTAACACGTAAGGGCCAGGGTTAATCTTCCCCACACCATCCCGGTGGTAAGGAAAAAACAGGCACAGGGTGGTTAAGTGACCTGGCCCAGCCCTTGTCTGGGAAGTCACAGCGGCAGACTGCAATCCAGGCAGGGCAGGCACTGGCCCACCTGACCCGTGGCTACTTCTGAGACAGGGCCTGGCCCGCGTGGCTTCCGGCTTTGTCCACCTGCCATTCTCCCCATGAAAGCTGCTTGCCTGCCACACATGCCTGGAACACTCCTCCATCATGCTGCCACCTACTACTTGTCCCTCAGTCTTACGGGAGTCTCCTCCAGGAAGGCCTCCCTGAATGCCCGGCCAGTTTGAGCCCCCAGGTTTATCCTGTCAGAGGCATCCTGGCCCACACTCTCTCCTATGAAGGCAGGAGCTGGACCTGGCACTGAGCAGGTGCACAGCTTCTTTTTGTGGAACAAGAGAGGCCCACAGCACAGAGGCAGGAAGTGCGGGCAAGACACCACACCATGATGAGCACAGTGGTTTGTGGCTCCAGTGGGGCCCAGAGAAAGCTGCTTGCCCTCCCTCGCTTTCAGTCTGCTCATCTGTGAAATGGGAGCGGCCTTCCCACCCCGAGGACTGGTGTGAGCCTGAGAGGGGATACCAAGTGCCTGTGTCCCCCGGAGAGCAGCGGGCCTGACTGCTGAGTGCTGACCACATGCCAGCACAGCACAGGTATTCTCAGGAAGTCACGATGTTATGTCATCTGCCACGAGCACACGTGATGGGCACCAATGTTGCCCACAAACAGCAGAGAGCACTTGGTGCCTGTTGAGGTCAACTACCTGGAACCTGGCAGGGCTGAGGTTCGAACCTAGCCCCTCTGGCTGCCACCCCTGCTGCCCTGCCCCTCCAGGATCGCTGGCCACACTCACCAGCTGCCCACTGACTTTGGCTGAGAGCACATCAGAGCTCTGTTTCTGGAGCTTTCCGGCCACGACCATTTCACTGCCCTTGAAGAGCAGTCGGAAGTTGTCCTGAGTGACCTCCTCCACGGCGTTGCTCGGGTATTCAAAGGCCACCCTAGTCAGCAGTGGGTTGGCCACCTCCTGGTAGAAATCCTGCAGGTGGGGAGTACCACAGGCTGGGCTGGGGTGGGTTCACTCTCCACGCCATCCCGTCCTCACGCAGCCCACCCAGGTCATGCCGCACCTGGAGCTGCAGGGTGGAGTCTGAGTCTTCATAAATGCGCCGAGCCAGACCACCGTTGCTCAGTGCCAGCTTCTCCAGGAAGGGGTAGCTGACGTCAAAGCCAAAGCCCAGGCAGAAGAGGCTGTACTGGCCACGTATGGCTTCCTCCACATTCTTCTGGATCTTCACAGGGTTGGTCTCCCCTGTTCAGCAGTTCGGAAATGGGATAAGAAAATCATAATTTTCTCAGAGCAAAGGTGCCCTCGGAGAATCCCCCTGCCACAGCAAGCAGGGTGGGGTGCCCCAGCAGTGGCACCCAGGCAGCGTGGCCTGGAGCTGCTTTGTTGCCTCACCCCTCGTGGGGTCGCCGTCAGTAAGCAGGATAATGAGGGAGACACTCCCTTCTGGAAGCAGCTCCTGCTGGTTGGCACTTTCCAGCAGCTTCACGGCCATCAGCATCGCATCGTTGATGTTGGTCCCTGAGGGGTACACTCAGGGTAGGTCCCAGCCCGGCAACCCAGAAGCCCTCACCCTGCATGCCTGCAGGGGCACTCACCTCCCTGGGCCTGGATACCAGCAGCATAGGCCTTAGCCTTGTCCACATTCTCTGTTGAAGCTGGCACCAGTGAGGGCTTCCACTGGGTGACCCCCCAGCTGAAGTCAACGAGGTTGAACTGGTCTTTGGGACTGAGGTCATCCAGGATCTTGATTAGGGCTTCCCGGGTCTGGCAGGGGGAGGGGAGATAAGGTGGGTATTTCAGTGGGGCCTCCTTGGGGGTTCATGTGCCCCTGGACTGGCACTCCCAGACTCATGTCTGGAGTGGGGACTTGGTGAATGCTCTAGAGGCGGAACCTGCCAGACTCTGACTGCAGAGAGATCTCCATCTAGGACCTTGGAGAAGGGAGGGTCTGTGTAGACCTGCGTCCTCAGGACCCACCTGCTGGATTTTCCTGCCATGCATGGAACCACTCCTGTCGACGACAAAGATCACATTCTTGGGTATGGTGGGCAGGCCCTCGGGGGCAAAGTAGTGCACAAAGTAGCCATTCTCGATCTGTAAACAGTGAGACAAACCCAGGTAAGGAGAGCTGCCATCCTGCCCTGTCCCCAGCCAGCTCCTGTACCCGAATCCTTGGGCTTTTGCTCCAACCCCCACTATCCCTGCCTACTGTTACCCCGCCCCCCAAGTCCCTCCATCTGTTTGGACCTTCCCTACCTGGCCCACTGGAACTCTGCCCCATCCGCTTTGCCTCCTATTTGCTTTAGTGTTTGAGGCATCTTACCCTTGAGATCCATCAAAAGAGTGAAGCCTCCAAATCTTATACATCAAAAGTCAAGGGGAGGGGAAGTTGTGTCAAAAACTGAGCAGAATGAGGCTGAGCTGTGAACATTCTGGCAGCCAAGGAAATAAGAAAAAACAGGCAAGGCAACTCCCTAGCAGAAATGAACTACTTTAACTGCTGAAAAGGAAGGAATCCTATCAAGGACAAAACAGCTACCCTGCTTTTTTTCTGTGTGTGTTGACGCCTGATTCACATTAATAAAAGAGGCAGTTATTTTGATTTCTCTTCTAGAATACCCGAGCTCAAGCCTTTGAAAGTGGCAGGATTTCCTGGTCACCCGCTTTTTCCTAGCACCCTCTCACCTGAATGGAGCCCCCGGAGAGGGTCCGGTTCACATCATAGCGGACGATGAAGTTGCCATCCACGACTGTGTCCTGCTCCTCAGGAGACTTTTGCTGCTGGGCCAGTGTGGGCTTGAATTGAATGTGAGCCTGGAAGAGCCACCAGGATGAGGGTGGAGGTGTCAGCAGCGGTGCTGACACTCCCCAGCCGGCTGCATGATGGGAAGTGAGAAAGTGAGAGTTGTAGGAGGCAGTTGTAGGTCAGACTCCAGGGAACTTCAAGTCAAGCTGTCATGCATACCCTCGGGGTGAGGCAGGGTGAGGCAGGGTGAGGGAAGGCCCCAGCCCTCTGCTCCAGCTGTGTGCACAGAGGCTGAGCTCAGGAGGTGTGAGGTCCAGCTTACTCCTTTCTTTCTGGTCCTGGGCACCCCACAGCAGTGTCCTCTCTATGTCCTTCAACCTCTATCCCGGGCTTCAAACCAGCACTCCTCTGTTCTAGGTCTTGCCCCTCCATGCTAAATGACAGCACGGGCACAGGGAGCTCAACAGCCCCGATAGCCCCACTCTCTGGAAGCCCAAGGCTCATGGGGTGGCCCCAAGACAGGCCCCTCGGTCCCCTGGCCCACTGCCCATGGCAGGCCCACCTTGGTCTCATTCTGCGAGATAAGGAGGGCGTTCTCCAGCTCGTTGGTCATGAAGGAGCTCTCTGTCTCCAAGAAGCTGATGCCCTGAAGCTCAAAGATGTGAACGTCCACCTGGAGGAAAGGTGTGGATCATGGGTCAGCGGGGAGTTGGAGCTGGACTTGACCCGAGTCTGTGGGAGGAGGGGGCCACCTGCAGCAGAGCAAGGGTCATCCAGGGGGCCTCCTGTGAGAAGGCAGAGCCAGGTACCTGCAGGTGCTTGACCAGCTGCTGTGGGTGGACTTTCAGCAGCAGCTCATACGCTCCCAGATGCCGCTTAAGCAGCTCTTCGTATACCAGCTCGAAGGTGACCTTGGCAGAGGGTGCTACACTGACAGACACCTGGAACTGCTCTGTCTTTCTCCCGGTAGCCCTAGGGGCAGAGGGCATCAGAGCTGCCCCTCCAGGCTACGTGGGACAGGGCCAATGGAGGTGTGAGCAGGAATAAAGGGCTGAAGGCAAGGACAGACTGGGCCAGCCATGGGCTGAGGGCCAGGGGAGCAAGGCCTCCCCCCACCACCACCCCCGCCCCCCGGGGCTTCCTCCCCACACCCCTTGGGCTCACTTGACTAGGCCAGCACTCTCTCCTCTTGCCACGGCCTTGCTATACTGCTCCTGGGCTGCCTCCTTCTCCTTGATGTTCCCTGGGTAGGTCACACCATCGATGATCCTGGGGCAGGAGGAGTTGCAGAGAGCCTGGAGGAGGGGCACTCCAAACTGCCTCCCCAGGGAGACTTTTTGGGATTCTGCGTGCCTCTCGACAGAGTGAATCCTATCTTTGTATGTGCAAGGCACCACAGTGTTAGCAGACACACTTTACTGAGTGGGGAGGAGAGACTGCAGAAGCAGCTTGGCTGAACGACATGTCATCCTCACATTCTAACTCAGCCCTTCCACCTCACAGATGGAGGGACCAGTAATGACCAATGGGAACTTTCTGAGTGGCACATGTGCTCAGCTGTGTCCAGCTGTGCAGAGGATTGAGGATCAGTGAAGTCGTAGGGTGGAAAAGCTCTGACCTCTCTTCCCTGTGTCCCTCCCTCCACAGCACAGCGCAGGGCCCTCTGCACAGATATCAGCCTCTGGGAGGGAGGCTCTAGACAAGTGCTGGATAACTCCTCGGGGTGTGGCCACAATTCTCATGATGGTTCTTTGGGATCGAGAAAGGACTACCGGACTGTTTCTCTGGAAAGAAAATGACTACTCCAGACCTCCTGGGGGGAGTCAGGCCATGTCAAGTGAACAGAGGCCTGCTTGTCTGGGGTGGCCTGAAAGGGTGGGAGTGTGCTGGGGGTGCAGCCAGGACTTCAGGACCAAGTGTCCCTCCTCCACACCTTCCTGGTTTTCTTTGAACGTGGAGGGGGGCTGGGGCGTGGGCCTTAGGCCTCCTCCTCCCAGGTACCCAGAGTGGTGTCTGGCAGGCTGCAGGTCAGAACAAGGTTCCCCGACTTTCAGTCTGATGCAGCGAAAGGATCTGGCCCCGGAAGAGGGTGCCAGTCCCCAACTCTGAGCAGATAGGACAGAATCTTGTGACTCTGGCACCACTGGGCAAACCGGCACAGCCTATGAGCTCACCTTACAGGAAGGGCAACACAGAACCTGGGTTAGGAAAGGCAGGGGCCGTGTGGGCGGGGGGCAGGGAGAGAGGGAGGAGCCAACCTCAGGGACTGGGCCTTCTCTGTCATTTGCCAGAGGTCACAGGTCATCCTGTGGACCATGCCTGAGCTGCAGCTTATCACCTCCCGAGTCTCTGCGATCAGCCTCTCTCTGGCCTGTACTCCATCAGAGCCTTCCCGTGGCACTAGGGACAGAGTTCTCTTGGTGTTAGCAAACATTGCAAAACTGAGTGGGGAAGGGTGGAGGAGGGCTGTGGAGGACAAGGAGAAGATGGTCACAGAGTCCACAAAGAACATGGCCTCCCAACGTGGCCTCAGACTGAGAGAGATCCATCAGGGTTGGAGCTAGCCTGGCTTAGAGCTCCCTCTTCTTGAGGTCTTCCCCTTCGTGTGGCAGGGTTAGGAAGCGTTGGCTTATCTGCTTTTGCTTCAGTTTCCTGTGTTCTGAGCTAGAACCTGCCTTTTGGTGAGTCCCTCCTAGCCGTGCCTGACCCGAGGACGCCGTCTCCTCAGAGACACGCAGAAGCCCTGGGTGCTCACGTGCCATTTAGGCAGACTTAGGGATGATGGAAAGAGGGAGGAGCGAGGGAAGGGATACAGATAGACACAGGGGTGGGGAGACTGAAGGAAGGATGGAGGGAGATAAGGAGGGAAGACAGGGAGGAAGAGGAGTAGAGGGAGAGATGGGGAGAGGGATGGGTGACGGGGCTGAGGGGAACGGAGGGGACAGAGAGGAGGGGGAAAGGGAGTAAGGGGTACAGGGGTAGAGGGAGGTAGGAGGGGGAGAAAGGCCTCTGAGGATGCATGAAGTAAGATGCCGGGTAAGACCTGGATACTGAGCTAGAGCACACACACCTGAGGGGCACATCTTGGCACCCCTCACATGAAGTAAAGAGGGATGGAGCCTCCATGCTGGGCTGGGGGAGGGGGTGGGGGGAGGGGAAAGCTACCTACATGGAGAAGTTGGTGATAAAAGCTTTCTTGGGCAGCTCCATCTGGAAGGTGGCCTCCTGTGCTGTGCTGGCCCTGTTGACCACCCGGCTGGTGATGACCGTGTGGGCAAATCGGGAGGAGACCTTGGAGTCCACGGTGAGGCTATAGATGTCGATGTCATTCTGGACCAGTGAGGGGGTGGGATGGTTTCAGTGCCATCCCAGCTTGGACAACATTCTGCAAGGATGAGCCTGGGTCCCAGACCAAGCCCTGGCCCCATCCCGACGGGCCCTCACTACTCAGCTGAGGCTAAGCCCCCAGAAGTATGTACTTCCCGTGCGAACACGCACGCAGCCGCAGGCTTCCTTCCTGCCCCACGGTGCCCCAGGACAGGGCCCGCATCTGTGGGGCCCACCATGCCCCTTGGGGACAAGCGCCTGTGTGGGGCTCCAGCCCCAGTGCTTCTGGGAGGGGAATCACACTTATCCTTTGGGCGGAGGTGAGCATCAGAGGGCCCTGTTGGGTCAGAAAGTTTCCTGTGCAGTCTGAGCCCTGCCCAGTGAAAGGGCATAAGGCTTTCGACTTCTAGTGACTTCGGCCTCTCCTTGGAAAATGGGGAAAACACCTCCACCAATCTCTACCAGGGGTCTGCAGGTAGGAGGGTGCAGTCTTCAAGAGCTGGGAATCTCCCTCTTTGCCCCCTTTCCCCCAGGCTGAGGCCCCTCCCATCACTCCCCCCCAACCT